CCGCCCCCGCCCACCGCGCCCCCTGGCGGCCAGCCTGGACACCGCGGCCACCCGCAGGCGGCCGCCCTCCTCCCGCCACAGTGGAGGGTCAGCGGGGAGGTCACTGCCCGGAGGCTGCGTCGGCCTCCGTCACTGGACGGAGCGTCCGCACGACAGCTCAGGCCTGCACTGCCGGAAGGCAAATAGCGCCTCCCTGTCTTTCGGGGCCACAGACTCAACCTCCCAAGAGCAGTGCAGCTGAACGCCCACGTGCCCTTTTCCACGCTGTGCCGGGAGGCCACAGCCCCACGCTCGGGCGTCACGTGGCCCCGCGCCATCTCCGTGGTCGCACGCCTGCCGGGCGGCCGCGCGCCTCCGTCCAGTGCCCATCTCCCCGCACTGACAACTTCCTACACCCCGCTTCACGTGAGCACTGACTTGCCCTGCCGACGGGTCTCCGCGACCGGCCCCTGGGCGACCGGCCCCTTTCCGCCAGGCCGGGCCTGCCAGCGCCGGGCTCAGCCCCAAGAAGGCGCGTCCCCTCCAAGCCACCGCCTGGCCGGCTCTCTGCTCTATTTTTAGCTCTATGGAAAGGGTTGTTTTTCTTTCTTTTTCCCTGGAAAGGGAAAACACAGCCCAGCCACCCTTAGGCTCACTCCAGATCCCCAGCCTCCCCAAAGCCGACTGCGCCCCTATGTCCAGGAAGACCCCTCCTTGTGCCTGACCCTGATCCCTGCTCCGGGGCACCAAGGGCCAGCTCCCCTCTCTGGCAGGCTGCCCAGAAGCGCGGGCAGCAGCTGGGCTCCAGCGTGCAGGCGTGGGGGCGGGGCGGGAGGCCTCGGCCGCAGCCCCTCCCTCATTCCCGGGGGGGGCGGCCCCTTCGCGTCTTGGGGGGTTTGTACTTTCATGCCTCCGGAGGGGGGTTGGCGCTCTTGCACGGGTGGCTCTCTTCGCTTCCCCTAGGGCAGAGGAGTAGTAGGAAGGGGGCAGCTGTGCGCTGCCGCCAAGGGTCCCCCTTCCCCATGCCTTCAGGGATGCAGACTCCAAGAATGTGCGCGGAGGCTGGAAAGCAGGGAGACCAGGGAGCGCCACCCCAGCCCAAGTCTCCAGGTCTCCCGCGCCACCCGGCTCCAGGGAACGTGGTTCTCCCATCACTCCGGGCCGAGAGGGGACCCCGCAAGCTCGCCCCCGGTGGGGTCTGCAGAGCAGTCACGTGTGGCGCCTCTGGACGCCTCGGGCTTCACCTGCAAGTGGGCGGCGGGGAAGCAGAAACCTCCGGACACGTCCCACCGGCCTGTCCCGCTCGCGGTCTCTTGCCCCCACCCCGCTCAAACAGCCTGGGCTCTGCCGGCTGGAGCCGGCCGGGAGGGCGGCGCTGTCCCAGGACCCGGGGTACTCCACCGGGCGCGTCCCTCCCGAGTGCACGTGTGTCCGTGTGCCCCAAGTGCGTGCGTGGGTACGTGCGCGAGTGCCTGTCGGCCCGCTGCTGCGAGTTTCTGTGCTGCTCGCGGCTCAGACTTCGCCTGCGCCCCGCGGGACCCCTTCTCATTCCCACCCCTAGCTTCCCCGGGCGCAGGGTTCGCTCGGGAGCCGGGCCGCGAGGGAGGCGGGAGT